TTATCTTTTTTATACTTTTTTTTGAAATGTAAAATAATTAAACGACTCTTTTTATATGAAAATATAATTAAAGACAAATTGATTCAACTGACCTTTCTCTTTAAATGAATAGTATTTGAAGATACTTGTTTTGCGACCGGTTTGCGTGCGCTCCAGTTCCGGAAAACTGGATTCATCAAACATTCCATCTTCGTCTTCCTCAGTTTCTTCCTTCACCTCTGGATCCCCGTTCTTCTTTGCAACCGCTTCCGCCTTCTCTTCTTCCATCATCATCGATTAATAATCCAATAACAGCGACACACGCGCTAATTCCCACGAAACAGGAATACACCGTAATTTACTATGTTCACAAAAACAAGTGCCGTCAGTATCGAATCATTTAAGTACAAGCTTCTAACTACAAAAAAAATTACACCAATGAAGGTCAATTAGAATCATACTGGATTTATTAGCATATATCGGACACACTTTGATCAAGAGAAATGCGCTAGAACCACCGATATTTTTTTCACCTGTTTATCTTTTCCTTACCTCCCGCTTCGTCTCACTTCAAACCGATTACGTATCATTCGACGTTTCGTTTCTGTTCGTCTCTTAAGAATCGTGTGTCGTCCACGCGTTGTAATCATAGCCAACAGCGACATTCTAAAATTAACCGTCTATCATTCGATTGCAATTTCACGCGACTATTCCAAATTATCCGTCCTTACTCGCATTTACATGGATCTTCAGTTACCACTGATATAGAACTCAATTCATCGTTATTTATGCGATGCAAACGATGCAAAGAATTTTGTTCATTTTGTTGCCGAATATATTGACATAATTTCATACAATGAAAAGAAATCATACATAACTGAACTTATCATAAACTAACATAACTGAAGAAACCAAAACAATTTTATTTTTGAATAAATATATAAATATTAAATAAAAAATTTAGTATAAAAAAATCTAGAAAAAGAGATTCTTTACTAATTTCAATGATTTTGGAATGTAGAAGATAACATTTTGAATAATTTTTTCCTATGCATATAATTGTCTCTTAATTTTCAAGATATTTGCAAAAATAATTGTTAAATATTGAATACTGAATTTCGTCTATATGCGTGACACATATACCTACATGTCATCATGAGACTGCCATTTATCAACTATTCGTAGACATATTATGGCGGCTAATTCAAAAATAAAAAAAAAATATATATATATATATGTATATAAATGATTTAATATCACCATACTTAGTATCTATTAATAGAAACTATAACGAACTTAGGCATTCCATAGATCCTGAGGAATATAAAAATAAACTATAATAAATAAATAAGTATAATAATAATAATAATAAATAAGTATAATAGTAATAATAAATAAAATAATTAGTTAATAGAGTTAATAAAACATTATGAAATTATAATTATAATAGCAAAACCAGATTCATATTGTAATAAATTGATTGCTATGATTAGTATATTATATTGTATGTATATATTGTATATTATATCTTCGTTTTCTGAGAATTCGAAAGATCCGTGAAATGCTCAAGTTCAGTTTTGACATGATTTAAATCCATCAAAATTCATAAGAAATTAGCTTTTTGAGTGATTCAATCGTTACATATAAAATATTAATATATTGTGTATCTTTGAAGAATAGATTTTAAAGACAACAAAACAAATACAAAAATATATAAAAATTTGAATATTATTTATTAAATTATTTATTATTAGAAAATTATTTATTAAGTTATAAGTAATTTAAGTTCGTATTGCGAAATATAAAACGAAATAAGCGAAATAAGAGCAGAATACAATAACAGATATAATAAAGACAAACGGTTTCATTCTCTTTCCGTCTCATTTTATTTAATTCAAACTTTAATTGCTTCGTGCACTCGTTTAATAAATAAACCTTAACCGATTTTTGTGTAATCAATTTTTGTGTTTGTTTTGATTTCTAGAATTACCCCAAAAAACGCATAAATATATATATATACTCTGTATGCATCACAAAGGAAACATTAAAAAAAGATAAATTAAAAAAAATCTCGTTTATATCCATAAAAAAATAAATTTTCGATAAATTCATCCGTACATAATATAAATATTGATTGCCAATTGTTAACTAATCATTGTTGCATATACTATTACGAACACATATGTATAAAATTTAATAGAATAATAATTATTTTTTAAATATT